ATGTTCAAAGTGGGATTTTTTGGGAGAACCTCAGCATGCTTAGGAGGAAAGACGCGGTCACCGAGCTGACTGGCTCGAAGGGAGGCGAACGTACGACCCGGTAACCGTCAAGGTGAGTCTGTTGATGTCTGCTTAATGCTTGAAGATGTATTGATTAGTCGATGCTCAGGGTGGAGGAGAAAAAAAAACAACTAAAAAAAAAACAAAAACAGGCATCCAGTCTTTGATGTAGGTGAATGTTCTGCCCTGACTTGTTGTTGTTGACTTGTTGTGGATGCAGACAGGTTGACAGACAGGTGAGAGGCAGAAACGTGTTCGTTTGTAAACGTGAGAACACGCTGTACGGGATCAGTGGTGGAGCTGTGTAGAGAGAAAAAAAATGGATGCAAGCGATGAATTATTAGCTCATGAATTAAGATGTAACATGCTGCACTGGAGAGAAGCAGCAAACATCCTGTGTGTGTTTAGAGGAGCTGACACCACCGTGATCTTCTAAAATCTGCATAAAAACAAAGGACTTGAGGCGTTTAATTCAGTCTTTTTTTCACCATAATAAAAAATGTATTATTTAGATTTTCTCAGGCTGTAATTTTACTCTATTACTGTGTCATCATACCAGCTTTATACGGAGCCGTGGAAAGACACCTGCTCTGCACCTTTGTTCATTTAAAAAATTAAAAAAATAATTATTTATTTTCTACATGTGACCTAATAAACATGTTATCTGTCAATACAAAAAAAATGTAAGCCAGAAATCCTTATTCACATTTCATTAAGTCTTCCTCATTTGCTTATTATTTTGTTTTGAATTATTAGTCATGTGGTTGAGATTAATTTCTTAGAAAAAAAAAAAAACCTTGAAGATAAATCCTCATACAAAAAAACAAACATTTCGTACACTTTTACGGGGGGATGAGAGTAGGGGCTGCTTGTTGCCATGGAACTGGTGACCTTGTTGCCGTGGCAACAAGCAGCAACACTGTGCAGTGGCTTATGAGGCGTTTCATGGCAGAATGTAGCTACAGTCACTGAAGGGATTGTTTGTTTTCTTTTTTTTTTTACCTGTTTGGGTGAACTGATGTGTGACGAGACAACCTGGGTCGTCTTGTTTTAGGGTCATTCTGACATAAAATCTCTCACTGACAGACAAAATGTTTTTGATTGTGATTACAGACGTTACTGATGCTAGCGCAACTAAGACGAGCACTGTCACTGAAACCATATCCCAACCTTTCAAGACATTCTGGCATTTGTATTATAAAATGAATAATGGCTGGATTCCATTTAGCTGCTTCCAATTCAGACGGAGCAGAACGGAGCCGTTGGTATTTGTAACACCTGCTGCCATATTGTGTCACATTGCTGCTATTAAGGCCTCGTAGATCCAGGTGGTAACGCTGTAAGTCAACACAGACAAATTACTCCTCTCTGGGTCTTCCTCTTCAGCTGCTAATTACCTGTCCACATTGTAGGACCGCATGTGGGAATGCCTTAATGAACTCATCATGCAGTTAAGCTTAAACACCTTCCGTCCCATCATCCGGCGCGGGAAGGGGAAACCATGGCAACAGACGTGTCCTGTGTGAAAAGACTTCTGCTTTATCAAGGTTGCATCAGCGTCTCAAGTATTAACCCAGAGAGAGAGAGAGAGAGAGAGAGAGAGAGAGAGAGAGAGGGCGTCTGCTTCAGCTGACAGTTGACGACACCCTGGCTGTTGTGTAAATGTGTGTGTTTCTGTTCATGTGTGAAACGTTACAGCTCGACTGTTAATCATCAACCTGCCTGCCGACCAACACCTCTCCGTCCTGTGTGACTGTAACTCCCGGTGTGGTCCCGTTTCTTATATAACTCCTTCAGCATCATGTGGACGTCATTCCTCCTCTCACTGTTTCGTATTTACAATTAGCACTGACGAATAGATCAGCGGTGACTGTCTGGTGATGCATTCGTCGCTTTTTTTTTTCCTGTGGTCTTGTTTATCACAGCTTTTCAAGAGTCAGACAGCACAGTCGTGTAACTGCATCGAGCGCACACTTTGTCAGGTTTGATCTCTTGTGTGTATTTTACAAGATCAGTTTTGCAAAATGTCTTACGTGGGTCTTCTTGTCTGTCTATTCCAGGTATTGCCATGGAACACAGCTTCATCTGTGCACCGCCACAACATGCTCACCTTCTCCTGGGCTGATATTCCTTGATAACAGCTGCTATGGCTTTTAATAATGAAAGCCTGCTGGCGGAGTGTGACTTCATGGAGCCAAACAATGCGGAGGAAGCGGCCGAAATCCAGCCGTCAGAAGCTTCGCCTCCTCTCATATCAGTCACTCTGCGTGTGACCCTGGCAGCCATAATGATCTTTATGATTACTATCGGTTTCCTCGGCAACGCAATCGTGTGTCTGATTGTTTACCAGAAACCTGCCATGCGTTCTGCTATCAACCTCCTCCTCGCCACGTTGGCCTTCTCTGACATTATGCTCTCCCTGCTGTGCATGCCCTTCACTGCCGTCACTGTGGCCACCGCTGACTGGAGCTTTGGGAGCGGGTTCTGCCGGGCCTCCATCATGCTGTACTGGCTGTTTGTGCTGGAGGGGGTGTCCATCCTCCTCATAATCAGCGTGGACCGCTTCCTCATCATTGTGCAGCGGCAGGACAAGCTGACCCCGCACAGGGCTAAACTGCTGATCGCGGGTTCGTGGATTCTGAGCCTGTGCGTGTCCCTGCCGTCGGTGGTCGGCTGGAGGACGGGCGCAGCAGGCGTCGGGGGCGCCTGGGCGCCGCAGTGCGTGCTGGGATACAGCGAGTCTCTGGCAGACCGCGGATACACAGTGCTGTTGGCAGTGGCAGTGTTCTTTGTGCCGTTTACCGTCATGCTGTACTCTTACATGTGCATCCTCAACACGGTGCGCCGCAACACGCTGCGCATCCACAACCACACCAGTGAGCACTCCTGCCTGCCGGCCCTCAACCAAGTCAGCAAAATGAGACTCACCGGGCTGCAGCGGCCGCCTCAGATCAAGGTGGACATGAGCTTCAAAACCCGAGCCTTCACCACCATCCTCATCCTGTTCGTCGGCTTCTCGGTGTGCTGGCTGCCTCACACGGTGGTCAGCCTGCTGGCCGTGTTCAGCCGGCAGTTCTACTACAGCTCCGTCTTCTACCCCATCAGCATCGGAGCTCTGTGGCTCAGCTACCTGAAGACAGTCTTTAACCCCGTCATCTACTGCTGGAGGATCAGAAAGTTCAGGGAGGCCTGTCAGGAGTTCATTCCCAAAAGCTGCAGACTGTGTCCCAGAGTGCCGGGCAGGAGCCACAGAAGAGTGAGGCCCAGCAACATTTATGTGTGCAGTGAAACACAATCAGCTGTGTGAAGCTCTTGCATACCCTTAAAATAAGCAGTTGAATGAAGTGACAAAAACATTCAGTCTAAACTTTTCAGCCAGCACCTCCTTTAAGTTCTCACAAAAATAAAAATGTGAACATCTACAGTTTTGTGGCTCCATCTGCTGAGGATGTGAGACATTCCAAAGGTCAAGTGAAATGACCTCGCAGTGAGGCCGTTTCTTCTGCTGTTTCCATACATTCATACGTTTTCAGTCTCAAAGTATTCTTGACTTCGCTTCGGGACCATTCTACTTTCTGAAACTTGCTGCCGCTCAAGCTGTTTTATACCTTTCGTTGTCGGTTTACTTCTCTGTTTCATATATCGTCGCTGAATTGTTATTCTGTCTTTCGGGCTGTAAAGTCGATTTCCAGTTGAAAGCAGCTGAATTGTGGTGGTGATAATAATTCTGTTGTCAGTCATGTGATGAGTTACAGGAAAAAAAAAAAAGCATACAGTATTAATGTTAAGTAAACTTTATTTTCTTTAAAAAAAAAAAATCCATGAATGTGTCAGCAATTAAATGTTTCGGTTATTGTGGAATGAATGTTTCCTTAAATGCATTTTCATGTCATGGAAGATGAAACCAGGTAAATAAATATAGTTTTTGATTGAGGTTACATTGAAAGAGTGGAGTGATTGGAGGAAAAACATGTTCTAGCACTGTATGTAAAGTGCACATCAAATATGCAGGGAAATAAAGCAAAAAAACAAACAAACAAACAAACAAAAACCCCATTGGTAGAAGAAGGCCTGCACAAAAAACTTTTCCTATTTAGGAGGAAACGTGAATACTTTAAGCTGTGTGTAACATTCTAAATATATGTAGCACTTTATTATTGTTAAATTATTACTGCATTCATTTAATATTTGTATACGCAAAAACATTTTTACGAATATTGGCAGCCTCAGCAAACAATTAGAGGTTGTACTTCTGTAAATGGGAACATGGTGCTGCTTTATTAATACACTGAGTTGTCCTTTTGCTTCATTTATTCTTTCAGTTTAAATCACTGAACCAGTCGTACAGAGATCTGGAGCCATGATACTGAAGTCTGGTAACAGTAATATACTTTGAATTAATTTAGAAAATGATAAAATGCTCAAAAGATGTTCCCATCAAAGCTTCAAAGCTCCTCAGACAGACAGAATGTTTAGTTTACTGTCTTATGAGTCAAAAAGAAGAAAAGAAGAAGGAGTGAAATCCTTACATTTAAAATACTTATTTGGAATTCACAGAAAATGTCAGAGATCTGTCAAGATCTGTCTGTAGGTTTTGACCTGAAACCCAAATGAGTCAGGGAAGATATAAAACATTAAATAAAATCATGATTGCACGTTTACTTTCTGTGCAAAATTACATTTTTTTTTTCTAGTTTCAGATGCAGATAGAAAACAAATTGTTCGTATTTATTATTCTATGTGAATGTACATAAGTCCCTGCTAACACTTTTTAATGTTCATCTCTTTGTATGGGGTACAAAGCGAAGTAACTTTTAGTCATACACACACTGATGATGTATTTACACGTGATTTAAAGGAAAACTTACAAGGTTTCCATTAAAGCACGGGAAAATTATTAAAATACAAAAGAGAATTTAAATAAAGTTATTTTGTATAAGCAAAGTTTATGTTTTCCTCCAAACACACACACATACATATATATTTATTATCATTATTTTTGATTGACGGAAAAGGGGTGTACACTTTATTAGATCACTATAATACACAATATAAGTTGATGCACACAGAAAACCAAAAATTCCTTCCCACCGCTGTTTTGTGTGAGTAATTCAGAAAAGGTTTTCTTTATCACACACAAGGAGGCTGGAGAATGAAGGAAAGCAGTTCTAATTAAACACAAGAACAAGAATAAATGGAGTTCCATACGACAGATTTACATGTGTGCCAATATGTGACATGCGAGTCACAACCTTCCTTACCTAGATTCAGAGCTCATGTTTGTGTGTTTCAGATCACATTACAGTCCTAACTTAGTTAACCTAGTCCTGGATGCAACTTGTAATTTAATTGCAAAGATGACAGGAGGATGGACTCCATGCTCGTCTACATTCCCAGCTGAGTTACTTTTATTGGTAGCTGGTAAACATATTAGTTCAGGACAGTAAAGATTAACATGTTTGGCTCCTTCTAATGAGGAGGATGTGGACTCACGTTGCACTGTAAAAAGTTCATTTTAGCCGTAGTCCAAGTAAAGGACTGTTTCAAATCAATCTCACTTATTTCTTTGCTTTGTCAATAGAAGTTTACTTTTGTGGACTCTGTCAACTTGAAATTACTTAAAATTGCTATTGTAATTTCAGCAAAAGTGCAAAAAATTAAGTTTGCTACTCCTTTTGCGTCACGCGCCTTATGTCCACATTTCTTTAATTTTGTCTGCTGCAACTTAACCACTATTTTCTTCAAATAGGTTTAATGTAAGTTTAATGACAAAATCATGTTTGACTTTTGATGTTTGGGTAAAATAGATAATTAAGTTGAAAAAAAAAAACAAAAAAAACTTTAAAGTTTCTTTAAAATCAAGTGGCAGCAATGCAAACTGTTTATTTGAACTACTGAATGATTTTAGCACATCTAGCCTAAAGCAAAGGCATTAATATTACTTGTTCACTAAATTCAGATAAACTTAATTTAATTCTGCGTTATGTGAAAAAAAAAATAAAAATGTTAGTCCACTTTACAGCCTACTTTAGCAGAAAAGGGGCTTTGAGGGGTTAAAACCCTGGAACGACATTCTAGTTCAAGATGTTTTGCTCTTCATTATAAAGGTTTCTTAAGGTCTGACTGGGGAATAATACAGATATTTAACTCCCTCCTGCATGTGACCACTGATCACTGACATGTAGAAATTCATGACCCTTTGAGATAAGCTTTTACAAACTTAAGGCTCCGTATGTCAACTATTAGGACGTGTTTGGCATCAATCAGAGCAAACAAAGCTTTATTCAGAAGACGCCTTAAAGAGACAGAAACTAAAAACGTAGCGTTTCAGACAGACGCTGAGAAAACATGCTGCAACAATCTGGAGTATCGGAAAAATGATGTGATTTTTGAGTAATGAAATATATATACATATTGTAGTGAAGCCCAAAAATAAAATTGTAAACTTGTACATTTTCACAAGATGGGCTTTTTAATTAGAAAATGTGTCAATTCAGACTATCAATCAAGTGCCCTGACAAATCTATTACACATCAGACACCAACAAACAACCGACCTCTATAATCATTGAACCAAAGATTGACTGTAAATAAAGAGAGACCTTGGAAGTAAAACGAGATGCTACAAAATATTTTTTAATAACTGTTTTTTTTTTTACTACAGGGTTTTACCTGCATCAAGGAATGTTTTGCGTCTCCAAAGAGAGGCTTTAAGCTGCTGAAAAGACAATCACCGGTGTCAAAATGAAAAGGAAGACACCTGGACATAGCAATGAAAAGTATCGTGGAAAAAAAGAAATAAAAAAGTAAAGAGTGCAACAGAAAGTGTGTATCTGAGACAGCTGAGACAGTGTAGTCAAATGTTGTTTTTAAAATTTAAAAAAACTAACAACAAACTCACCTTCAGAATGTTCATCCACTAGGAGGCAGCAGTGATGATGATGCTGCTGCGTCAGCTGCCGTAAAAACCAACGAAGAAGAAGAAGAGCAGCCAACATGGCGACTTCCACGGGACAAAACGGAAAAGCTGTTTCTACTTCAGATGTGGATCTGTTACTGCACCCTGAACTGTTGTCTCAAGACTTTATGCAGCTAATTTTAAGTGAGGTGAGTCACCATTTACAGAGAAACGTGGGATGTGTTATTTAATGTGGAAATAAATGAAGAATACTAAGAAATTAGCATACCGGCTAGCTATCTGTCTGTGCAGCACTTCTCTCAACCTTAGTTAAAGACTCATGTGTGACATTTTGAGGTGAGCTAATAGTGTTTGTTTTTTCCGAGTCAGAAAAATGTCAGTGCCAGAGACTGTGGGAGCAGGGACCGGCTCACAGAGCTGTACCTCCAGCATGTCATCCCGCTGCCGCAGAGGACGTTACCCAACAGCCGCTGGGGGAGGAAGATGGAGAAGAGCCGAGGGAGGCGGACAGCTGACGGTCACGGCTCAGACAGGTACCGGTCCACATGGACGTTATTGTGTAGTCATGTGTCCCAGACTCGGCGTAGAGCAGCTCATGTTGCTAAAAGTAGAACAAAATATTTCCATGTTCTCTCAAGTCAAAATCATTCACACCATTGTGAGGGAAATCTTTTATTTAAAGTTTGGTATTTATTACACATATGGTAAGAGCAATGTTCAATCCACTCATGTGGGTTTTCATCATCCTTGGGGCAATTTGAACTTGTGGCTGTGCTCAAAACCAAAAATAGTAACACAAATATAAAAGCATGCAAAATTTTATTAAATTCAATCAGTTCTTTTTGACATAATTATTAGTCGTTCCAACACACAGCACCGCCACAACAGAATGAACATCATGAAACAAAGCATGTCAAACCCATACCCAAATAAACCCTGTTAAAAATCCAATTCTTTAATTACAGGCCCTGGAAAATGGGGAAGTGCACAATTTTCAAACAAGGGCCCCAGAAAGCCCCATATTTCCTATGAATAACACAGTATCTGGTGAATATTTCATTGACTTTTGAGACCTCTAACATCAGAAGAATTGTATTTTTGTGTAGTATGACATGTACAGGTTGTTTATTTGTTTTTTTTTTGACATGCCAAAATGGTGCTGACTCATTGTGATGACCACCAGATGAGGTGTGTGTACAGGTGTATACGTTATCATCATGTGTGCAACATTACAGGTTGCTTTCATGTTGTCTCCATGTTTAGCTGTAACAACATATGAAGCTCAGTTTGTCGTACTGAATGTAAAATTGCTTCCTAGCTATAATGTTTTTGTTGTTGTTTTATTCAAAACAGAGAATTTTCCAGGTGTAAAAAAAATATATGACATTCTCAAAGTTCTGCCACAATGTTTTATGGCACTTAGTTTTTGGCGCCAATGAACTCATTTATGAAGATTAAACAAAATCTAAGACATTGCAGCAACACATCTCCTGAACTCTGTCTGAATTGACACGCAGTGACTCATCATTGATCCCATTTGCGCTCAGCTGTTTAATTTTCTTCTTTTTTGTCTTTCATTAAATATGTTAAGGTTCTGAACTGTTGGTTGGAAAAAAAAACACAGGTCTATGTGACTTATGTGGACATGTTTCACTGTTTACTGATGTGCTGTAGACCAATCAGTCTATTGATCAATCAGGAAAATGATCATCAGATGAATCAGTCATAAAGATAATTGTCAACTGCAGCTCTGGATGTAATAATGAATCTTTATCATGATAAATAATGACGTTTTAGTGTTGTTCCACACTCGCATAGACCTTTACTGGTAAAACCGTCAGTGGCTGATTCAACCAAGTGTTAATGTATGGAAACATCTTGTCAGTGAAACAGTGTGTGAAGGTGTGTATGTGTGTGTTAGTGTCAGGATCAGAGAACGTCAGCAACCCTTTGTTCCAGTCCAGATTTACTTTGATCCTTTCTACTGTCTTCCTCCATCGGAGAAATATGGGAGGATGTAATGGGGACACTGCTCTGCATTGACCTAAAGACAAACCTATTGTCCATAATCCAGACTGTATGAATCCCTTCCTCTGGACAGACTCTGCTAAAACACCCAGTGCCCATTCTGTACTATCTCCAACCTTGACGTCCCAGCTGTGAGTCCCTGAGTTAAAGCCCTCAGAGCCCAGGACAGACCAGAAGTTTTTAATCCTCTCCGGGTTGTCAGGAAGCTGCTGCCTCCTTCTTCGTGTCACACTGGACAGATCTTCAGACAGGATAAGTTCTGGATTTGCAGTGTTTGGGTCCAGAATCAGAGGAGTGTAGTGGATCATTTCCTTCATGTTGTTCCAGATGTTGAAGGTCAGATTGCCCAGGTGTTTGGCCACATCTATCAGAGCTCCTGAGAGCAGCTGAGAATCCTCCAGCAGGGGGCAGCGCTGGACTCTTTCCACCGCAGCCTTATAGTTCTGCAGGAATGAGATGTCTTCAGCTCTCAGCTCCTCCTCTGTGGCTCTGACTGTATCTGAAAGAGCTGCTATCTCTGTGATCAGAGCCTCCATCTTCTCCTTTATCCTCCCACTCTTCTGCTCCTCTTCCTTCTTCAGTGCAGCCACCCTGGCCTCCTCCTCGTCTGCTAGAAACTGGTGAAGCTTCTTAAACTGCTTCTTAATCTGCCTCTCTGTAAGTCGAGCCTGGACTTCAACATGTGCTGCTGTTTGAGCAATCTGCACTTTAACTCTTTCAGTAGCCTTTAACCTCTCCTTTAAGGGCTTTAGAGTTTCCTGAAGTTCCTCTCTGTGTTGTTGTGCAGCTTCATCGATGGGTCTGCATCTGTGCTGGTTGTGTTTTTCGGAATCTCTGCAGACGACACATAGTAGCTCCTGATGATCCAGGCAAAAAAGTTTGAATCCCTCAGAGTGCAGACTGCAGAGAGCCTCTGAGGATCTCAGACCTCTGTCCTCTATGAAACTCTCACACAGGTTCTTTAACACCAAGTTTGGAGATGGTATATCCTTTGTGGATTTTTTTTTACAAAGTGGACAGTTACGTTTTTCTCTCTGTGCCCACCAGCTCTGCAGGCAGACTTTACAGAAGCTGTGGCTACATGACATAATGACAGGATCCTTAAAGATCTCATGGCAGACAGGACAGCAGAGATCCTCCTCTAATCTGGAAGCCATTTAGTCCCCGAGTCAAGCTGAAAACACAGCAAGTAGACGGCTCCAAGAAGAAAAACTAGACCACGTAGCAGCTGTCACACCCTTTTCCTTGAAAACTTCAAAACTGGTTCAAAATGTGAAGTTAGCAGCAGGTTGAAATGGCAGCATTTCAGTACCTTCAGTATTTCCCGTGTTTCATTCCCAGTAATCCCAGTGATCTCTTCAGTCTCAGTGGAAGTGGTGGTTTTGGTCTAAATGTGAACCTTTTCGTCTGTTTGTCTCTTGTCTGTAAGGCAGAACAACCTGTTTTCTGGTTTGTGTCAGGTGAGGGGCGGGGCCTTGTCAGAGCAGGAACACACATATAAATTTACTGTCACTGCACACAGATGAGCAGCAGTGCAGCCAAATGTGGTTCAGCAACAAACCAAACAGCATACAGAAAAAAGGTATAGTTAAATGTATGTACAGAATGAATTGTAGAGCAGAGAAGGGATGGAAGCAGCAGTCAGTATGCAGTCATGGTATTTGCAGCATGAACAGAATCCTTCGACTGCTCTCAGGAAAATAATAGCTCTTAAGTTGTTCTTCAGAAGGCTCTCTGGTTCTTCACAGCACCATCACCAACTAAAGAATCTCTTTTGCTCATGAGTGATTCTTCACATACTTATTGTGGGTCTTTTAAGTACTAAACAGTCTTCATTTTTATTGGAGGTATTTGGTTTGGTGGCAGGGGATAGCATATTAATGTCGTAAGTAATGTTTATTTCCATTATCGGTGAATTATTTGGTCTATAAAACATCAGAAAACAGGTAGAAATACCCGTCACAAATTTCCAGATCCCAAGATGACATCATGTAACATGTTGGACCCAGAATATTAAATATGATAAAAGAGATGAGACCCAGAAATGCTGCACATTGCTACATTTGACTTTTTTTTTTTTTGCTTAAAACTTTCTTAAACAATTATTATGAAATGATTGTAAGTCCTGCTATCAAAATATCAAAAAAATGTCAAAAGTAAATTAAAAAATGGCATAAACAACTCAAAATTGTCCAAGATAACTCAACAAATTATCAAAAGGACACAAAAAAATGTCCAAAATTACTCAGAAATTGTGAAAAAGGAGCCAATAATTGATCAAAATGACTCGAGTAGGTAGTTGTTCAAAGAACCTCTTGCTAAAAGGTTCTTTGCAAAACTAAGAGTGTTTCTTCAATGGCAACACTGCAAAGAACAAAGTTTGGTTCCAGTTAGCTCCTTTATTTTTCTAATGTGAAGTGTGCGAGTGCTGTGAACAGTCCTGGTTCTATGTTCTACATGCAGTTCACTGTGTTTGGGCCTCTTAGAGCTGCTAATGCGACTGTGCAGAAGTGATTGTAGCTGGTTGCAGCTGAGTGCTTCAGTGAAGCTGTGATGCTGGTGGACTTGAAGCCGGTGCAGACAGCTGCTGGGACGGTGACAGGCCGAACATGTCAGTGAAGATGTCGGCAAGCTGTTCAGCCTGTGTCCTGAGAGCTGTGCAGCTCTGAGAAGTTTCCTCTTTGATGGTTCGACCTTTTGGCACTTTGTTTATCGCGCTGAAGTCTTGGCATGTGTTCATGCAGTGCTGATGAAGAGGCTCTGTTAACTCTGCTGCCCAGTGTTTGATTGTAACTGTCAGTCAAACTCTGTCCCAGAGTCTCTGTAACAGAACAGAAGCTCTTTGCAGACACAGGATGCGTGACATTACTGCTTTCTCAGTGTGTTAAAGTGACGGTATTCTATCATTCACACATACGTCACGTCAAGACTCCCTGTGGCTTCACTCAGACATGCACACCACAGTGACTGAGACAACCACAGCACCATATTTATCATCCAGATTGGAAAAAAACATCCACAAACAAAAGACCTCATCTAACTAACAGCAGCTTCTCAAGCTGTCCAAATAATAAACAGTCTAGTTTATTTACATTTTCCTACATATTTTCCACTGTGAAAATTCTGTCCATGTGTGATGATCTGACTAATACTTCAACAGTAAAACACAAATATCCTGACAGCTGTGATGGCGCTCACTGCTCACTGACCTGCTGTTAGATCCCGATCTAGCCTGTCTCTACATCATTTACAATTACCGCTAATTTATGACCACAAAGAGACGCTTACAGGAGCTTCCGAGGGGTCCACCGTCATTTTAAAAAGTTGTCCTTTTTTTCATTTTCAAGGGCCAGTAATTAAAAAATGTAGCCGCTGCTGAAGCCATTCGACCATTTCGATCTGCTCAGATCAATTTTGACACACTTGTAGGTTAGTTATTAGTCAAGCAGTCCAGTGAAATCAAAGATTCTCTTTCATATGTGATGTTGATCGTTGCAGCCACAGAAATTTTGTGAACCTGGTGCTGCTTTTGCAAACCTTATTGATCATGTAATTTAATATAATTATAAACTGCATTAAGGCATGCATCAGTCCTCCTTTCTTCTCCCAATACTGATCACATTACACCGGCTACCTCACAGATATTAACGCTAAATGAAATAAGCACCATATGGATGTATGTATTTGAAGGTAAAGTGGCATCAGACACAGGATTACAGTGGCATTAAATCCTAGTCCAGGGTAATAAATGTGGATTTGTAAGTTGTTATTAAGGTCGCTGTTGGTGCCGACACTGACCTGTACAGAAAGTCACTAATATAAAAGAGAAGCCTTAAATTCAGGCTGCGAGCTGTTGGATGTGTTTGTTGCACACAAGAATCATTCAGTAATCTTCTGTCTTACTGTCATAAACACAATACAAATGTGTTTGAAGCCGGTTAAAGTGTATAATGAAACTGAAACGAGTAAGCAATAGATGAAACAAGTACTCTGTGTACACCTGCTATTAGCAAGGACTCTGTATCTGGTTCACTTATCTGGGTATGGAGAAATATATGTTAATCCAAAGGCTTAATGGACGTGGACCACATTTGGACAGGAATGTCAACGGATCAGTGGGATTGCATGTGGAGGTGATTTGGCTGGCATTGTGATAGAACTACAGCCAGGTGTAAAAGCTTTCTGTGCACCATGACCACATTCTTGAAAAAGGAAAAAGGTCCTTTGCAAGACCTACAAGCAGTGTGTTTGTTGACAGAAATATGGGGAGGGAGAGCAGAGACATGACATGCACGCACCAAAGGACAGCATTTTGGGCCAAAACAACTCCGCTATCGGGTCGACTCCGATCTGGATGTTGAGATCAAAGCAACTTGCAGGCAACACCAGGTCGAAATGTAAAGCCGCCCATAGATCAGATGTCTGTATCCAGATAAAGTGTGCCGATACAGATCAGGTGTAAATGGGGCAAAAGGGGTGTCTATAATTGTGGAGACGTTTACAGTGTGTGGTACCTTGTTGACCTGCTTTGACCAAGCAGGTGGTTGACGGTTGCAGCATGCAGTTAGATTGGCAGCAACTCACACTCCTGCACCTGTTCGTCCAATGCAACACGTCACCGACACGTCTTGCTGCATGCCTGCACAAAGACGCAGCCTTTAATGTTAAAATGAGTTTGCGAGAAACAGCTGATTATTATTCTGTCGTAAATTCCAGCTCCAGCAACGACCACAATAGGAAAAGGCCTCTGATCGTCTTTGATGGGACGTCTTCTTACTCCGGGCCCCTAAAAGTGAAGAAACCAGAGGGAACCACAGCATCAGCAGGAATCACTGACAGATTAAAACCTCCTCCTGCTGCGAATCTTTCCAACCCCATCCGAAAACTGTCAGGCAACACTACTTCTTCCTCCTCCTCGTCTGGTCATCGTAGCACAGACACGACAAACCTCAAACGAGAAGCAAACACCTCGGTAGGAACTTTTTTTCTTTGTTTCTGCAATTGTTCATATTCATTCATTCATTCATTCATTTCTAAAAAAGTTGTCTGTATTTGATTATATTGTGTTGTTGTGTTGCTTATATGTTTGAAGATGATGAAGCCCTAAAAGGAAATGTATGATGAATGCATGTGATTCTTTAATATGTTATATATTGGCCACAAGATCAATAACTCGTGGTCACAACTTAATAAAACATGTGAATGCATTATTGAAGTTGCGGCCACAGCTTTATTAATGCATGGCCACAACTTTTAATACAAAATCAAACAGCATGAGGAAACTGTTTTGTTGTTGTTGTTGTTGTTGTTGAGCAAATGCTTGTTGTCAGGCGATTCTAACATTTGACCTTATCACATGAGATGCTGCCATTTATAAGAGGCTTTAGCTTGACACGCATTGTATGCGGTGCTTAATTTGTACATTTAGGAGGTCCCTCAGCACAGAGAAGGAGCTGTTCAGGTCAGGGAAGAGGGAAGGTCTCAGTGTGTATCCAAAAATACAAACTGATTGTCAAAAAAAACTGTTGTCATAAACAGAGCAATTTTTATTTACATGTAGTTAGCAGAGCATTCGTAATAATCGCTGGTGTCAAAACAGCTTATATTATATTATATAGTTTGTATTTTCTCTCTTTCTTGTTGACCGTCCTTCCATTTCCTGGGAACCTTCTGTCTGAAGAGTCCTGCTATGTGGGTAAAATGGAATTATGGCCACAGTTTCTTCATACAATAACAACTTAATTAATCTCTGTTACAGCTGCAACAACTGTGGAAGCCATAGAAGTAAATTAATAATTTAAATTTAACAATTAAAATTACATTTTAGAAAAAAATAGTAACATTAATGGCCACGGGAGAGAAGGACTTTATGCAATGTTCAGGGAGGCATGTTGTCATTAGTGTTTCTTTGCTGAAACATACAGATGGTACCAAACATTGTCCATGATGGAAAACATCATCTTCTCTGCTACTGTGTGTCAATTGTCCAGCTCCAACCCCAGCACTGAGCTGTCCTTCTGTATAAGTTTGTAGAATCTATTGGTGTCAACCGTCCCCAGCAGATAACAGCATAGAAAGTTGTGCTGGTCTCATAGAATGTCCTCAGCAAGCATGAAAACAAAGCGCATCTTTAAGCCTGTGCAGCACTTCGGTCGGCTGTGCTTGTTTGATATGTGGCATACGAATACATTTTGACATCACTTGAGGTGACGTCTTCCGTCTGTGTCAATATCCTCCCCTCTGTTTAAGGATTATAACAGAGCGGCACACAACAAACACTGTTGTCCATGGTTCTTACATAACTTGCAAGAAATAGGTTGCAGGATATCACTTTGTTTTATCCCAACATGAAAAGAAATAAAAATTAAATTTACCTCTGCTTCATGTGTAATAACAGCCCGATGAAACTCACCCAAAGTTGTCAGTAAACAAAAGCTTCCCTATCTTGAGATCATCCGTAATCAAGATGTGGCCACAATTCAATTAGCCCAAGCCTTATTAGCTTGTAGCCATGACTTAATTATCTAATTCCCTCGCCTCGGTCACTCGTGGTATTGATCTTGTGTCCACACATTACTAACACGGGGCAGCACCGTATTTGTCTTGCCAGTCACCAGGTGGATCTGTATAATGAAGATAACAAAACGAAAATATTGTTTTTAGAAGAAGCTGGTAACATGCAGTAATAAGCAAAGCAATCATGGTAGGGAAACTATTATGAATTCAAAGCTTTGATAAATGCTTGCTGTATTTATGCCTTTGCATTATATACCATATTGATTATTTTTCCACCTGCTATTCATCCCTGTTTATGTTTCATTTTCCAACTTTACAGGATGAACTGAAGTCTCCAGAAGTGAAGAAAAAGATCCAGCATGTAACGTGGCCCTGACCTCTGACCCCTGTTCATGCAGACCTGATGGGAGCTCAGGCTCTGATGGACAGTTCACTCCCCTTCCTATCCCTGACCTTTTGGTGTCTTCTACCTTAGCTGTCTTTGTCACCGTTTTCCCAGTAATTGATTCGCAGAAAGAGGTGGAAGACTTTTTTTTTAGTTGTGTCTCAAGGCCTCCTCGCTCCTCTGGTTCAGTTCTGAGAACAGACACTATGGGGATGATGCTCAGGAGATCATCCCGCTTTTAAAGTCATGAGCTTCCCTGTTGCTCTCCACAACCTGAAGTGCCCTTACCATCAACGATCAGCAGCTCACATCGACACATGGCGACCTTCTAGAGGACAAAACGCTCGAGGCGACGTTTATAGAATCGTGGCTGTTTATATTGTGTTTCTGTGCATGAGTTGGTTTCGGTAAAAAGGCCTCAGTTGAGTTGTGTTTTTTGAAACAGATGCTAAGGAATCTCATACTGTGGTGGTGATGGACACACCCAAGGCAGTGAGACAGTTCTGTGTTTCTGGTGTTTTGTGAAAGAATAAAAAAACACAAAATATGCTGACCCTGAGATTTTAGAAGTAGCGTGTACTCTAAAGTTTTTGAACCTGGTAATTGGTGAATATTCATACTTTGTGTTTTCCATTCCACAGATGTCTTGCTATTTCATAAGTTGTTCAGGGTTTTTAAATATATGTCTGGTCTGATATTGCTCACATGTTGCATAACATGGTAATAAATATATACAGCCTAATCATATTCCATTCATGGTTTGCCATTTTGTCACAAAGGAAGTGGATAACTTACATTTATGTATTTGAATATCACCTTTTATTATTTCTGATTAATGAAAGGAAAATGAACTACACTAGAATTGTCTTTTTGAAATATATTTATTGCTGTGGATAATTTGCAGTTAGTGTCTTTGATATAGACATACTCATCAAAAACACACAGGAAGAAGCATTTTGAATCAGTATCATGTTTGTACCAACAGTCTTTTATAAAATAAACTCTCAGTACACTGAATCCTGTTTGTTGATTTTATTGAAATGGAAAATTCAGCAGCCTTGTTGCCCATGTTTGAAATTCCAGTATTGTAGCATATGAAGTACACAATGCACTCTGAAAAATGTAGTGAAGAGGTCCTTCACCCAGCCATCTGTGTTTTCTGGTAATCGGTAGAGACATGTTAACCTAACTCAGTTTTTTTTTTTTGTTAGTTGTTTTTTTTTTTTTTTTGGATTAGCAGCTCTGAAAATGTATGACTTCACGCACAACTGCAATTAGCATTTAAAAGAATAAAGATGCAATATTAATATTTGAGTGGTTATAGCACAACCCATTCACAAAACCTCAAACTAATTACAGCATCAAGCTAATCCATGCACAAAGCAATAATCACTATCACACTTTGAAGCTGATAGTGTGCTTTAATACTGTAGATTTATTTCAGAAGGTTTCTTAAACTAGCTGCAAACATATTTTCAGTTTCATAGGTAAAGGTTTTTGCATTCGTGTCTAAAGGTATTTTATTAGTAAGGACTTTTTTTTTTCTCCAGAAGTGAACATTTCACTTGAATAATGTTTGTAAATTCAAATAACACTGTTAGTATTTCATAGCGTTAAGCAACGTACATTCATAGTGATGCTAAGGTTGCTAACGCTCCAATGGTATTTATTTTATGCTCGTCATTCATTGATTATGACATGTTCATCCAGGTAGATGTATCGGTCATCCCTCAGATTGAATTAGATGTCCTTGCCACACTCTGGGCACAGGATATCATCACGCTCAGTGAGGAAGCCACGCCCGACCAGGGACACGGAGCACTTCTTACAGTTGAAGCAGTCATTGTGCCACTGGCGCTCCTCAAAGGAAATGTACTTGCTGCCTCCAAGACCTGAGTATGAAAATCAATTCTAAGTCAGTGCAACTGAGAAACCTGCCTTCAATAAATCCTTTTCAGATTCAAAGAGACCAATAATCAGTGATTACCACTAATTGGGGTGGTGCAGGAGGCGCACTTCTTGGCATAAAGGTTGCAGAAGCAGTTGAGACAATAGGCAAAGTCATCTCTGGAGGTAAACCTCTGACCAGAAAGCTGCTGCTTGCAGCTAGTGCACAGGAAGCAGTCCTTGTGCCAGGGCTGGTCACGGTAGGTCACCCCGCCAGTGGTGATGGGCTGGTTAGAGGAAGCAGGAGGGTCATATTGTATATCTTTGTTCATAAGTTACACTTTAGATTATGGTTTGTACAGTGGAGTCTCCTACCTTCTTGCAGTGCACACACTGCATGGCAAACTGCTTCTCATAGCAGGGCACACAGAAGTTATTGTTCTCCTTAGGGATGAAGCTCTTGGTGCCGATGGGCTGCTGGCATCTCTGGCAGGTGAAGCAGGTCTCATGCCAGCTGTTCCCCTTGTGCTCCATCTTCCTGGAGCCTTCAGAACAAAATAAATTAAGACAATGTGTTTGTTTGTCTGTGTTTCTTATCTTTGCAGTCCCAGGTTCTTCATAACACAAGGATCCTCTGACATACTTTATAGTTCTACTTACTAATGTGCAAACAAAATAGGTGTCCATGTCTCTTTGGTTGTACTTAAACAATATCCCCTGTGTTTTATTACCCAATATTATTATCATCATAAAAACCACTTCAACAATTTACATCCAGTTCATTTTTGTTTTTATCTGTAACAGAGGACCTTTGTCTAATCATTCTGGCTTTGACTCTTTTTCTTTCTCTTTTATCCTTTTCTATGTGTGTGTTTTGTTAATAGGGGCTTTGTCCTAAGTTACTAAAAGTGTGTTAGGCTGAGAAAGTTCTTTAAAAATGACTGTTGGATGGACAAACAACTAAACGTGTATATTTATGTAATGCATCGATTTCAAACTGAGTGACAAAAACTGATTTCTTTGCAGATCAGAAATTACGTTTTGCTGTCTGTTGTTTTGGTATCTCTTTAATTTCTTCCTACCTGGCATGATGGTTTTCTTGCACTCATGGCACTTGGAGGAATACTCATTGGAGTAGCACTCAGTGCAAAGGAGCTGCTCATCCTTGGTGGAGAACGGCTTGTCCACCAGGGAGCGCTTGCACTGGAAGCACTTGAAACAGTCCTCGTGCCAGTGGCGGTCCTTGTAGGACAGATCCTGCAGGAACATCAGTCGGACGGTCAGAGCAATGCTGAGAAACACGCAGGAAGGTACAGAGATGGTATTGTTTTTCTGAGTGTCTCACCCTGGTGTTGCAGCCAATGGGCTTCTTGCAGTCCTCACAGGAGTTGGAGTACAGGCTTTCATAGCATTTCACACAGTAGGGATTCTCCTCTCGCAGGACATACTTCTTCCCAAACAGGGACTCCTTGCAGTAGTGGCAGTCGTAGCGCTCGGTCATGTTGACGCAGGGTTGCTCACCTGAGAGGGAAACCAGTCTGTCAATCAAGTCTTATGGACAGTTTTGACATTTAGCTTCTCTGTTCAAATCCATCTTTCATCTGACAAGAGAGCAGCTTCTCTGAGACTATAAATTCCAACCAATGATGTGTCCTAGCATCAAGATCTTTCACATTACACTGTGCAGAGGTTTTTCCATTTTCCTCTTTTATCTTCCTCTCCCATCTCTCAGCCGTCCTTCATTTTGTTCTGTGTCAGGAGTAGAAGGTGACAGATGAGGAGGATATAAATAGCTCCTATCAGTCCTGCTTAGAGACAGTCAACTTTGGCCCCGTTGCATACCAACGCGCACTATGCCACTGTACGCTGACCCATCCATCACCTCACCTCCAGCTGTCAGCACCAGATCACTGTATCCCCTGTCATTGTGTGTACGTGAGCGTGTGCGTCCCGGTATAAGTGGGTTTCAACAGCACTCGTAATAATGACTACTCGCGTTCGGCAGCTGCTTGTGGTCTGCCTGTTAAGCCCTCTGTTATCTCACCTGTGCCTAAATACTCTCACTCTCTGCTGGCCAGGGATAGTACAAGCTATTTATTTGAGTGCCATTATTCTGTGAGTGACATAGAGATTGTACAGTATGACAAAAAACAGGGAGAAAGCAACTTTTGTGCAGCGTAACAATCAATTCGACTCAACCTTTCTGTCAACTCACTCACGTGTAGCCTAATTTATTCACGTGACTGTGTGTCCAGTGATTCTCCCACCATATAAGGAGGGTGAAGGAAGAAAAAAAAACAGGGAAACCCACACATACATTCCCTCCTAACCACTGTTTCATTCTTTTCTGCTTCTTCTCTTAACTTCATGCATCTCTGTTCTTAATTGAGCCGCTCTCCTCTGTTGTAATTACCTTAATCTCCCTGTTCGGCTTTCCCCTTGATCTATTTGTGATCGCTGTGTATCCCCCCCACCTCAAGTGGTCCAAAACGAGATCACTGGGTGATTTGTGATGTTCCTGACATTCAAGAGGTTAGTATCTTTTATCAGGCTTAAGTTGAGACGTTTAATCTGCCCGTCCTTTCTGCTCGGAGCATTCTCAACCCCTCCCACATTCCCTCATTGTCCATTGCTCCCACCATGACTCACCTAGCTTATATAAGGATTTATCAGACTCCTAAAAATAAGAAAAGGATAATCTGAACCGCCACAAATAAAACCTCCAGCTATTCGGACATGTCGTGCAGCTGTTTCCCAGCTTCTGGGGTCTCTTTGATGCTACTCATCTGGGAGTCAAATTGAGCTCCAGCCAGTTTGACGGCAAATGAACCGTCCGGACGTTTCCAGTTCTTAAAGCACATAGAGAACTGCTTGTGTGATATTGTTCTCACACAGGCAATCGACTCTCTCTTGTGCATGAAATACAGCAAAAGTAATTACATTTACAGTGATGTTCCAGGACTAGTCAAGCTGAAAAAAGAGTTTTAGTCATCTTGCGAAACTTGCTACTGAAGGCTCAGAGGAAAAACTGCAATTTACAGCTTTGTACTCGTATTTCCAGATGTTTTAAAGAAGTAGAGGGCTATTTCTAAAATGTTGCCCTGCTATCCAGAGAAATGCAAATTTGCTTCAGGAAGACCCCAAAGCTGCCTGTTTACTGCAGCTTTCTTCTTTTCTAAAGCAACAGAAATTCCTTGTCAATTAAATAACTACGAAGAGACCCTGGCAACATTCTGGTAAGTGGATAATGGAATAAAATGGCAAATCAAATTAGGCTCTATTTTGAAAGTTTGGTAATTCAGTCCTGAACTGCAGTTTACACATTAAACTCAATGCGAATTTAAATCCCTCTTCCAACCGAGAAATTACAACCTATTATATATATATGTTCCTCTACTATGCAAAGATCTGGAGAACTTTTCAAACTCCGTAGTAGCTGTGATCATGAGATCTGAACAGCTCCCACTAAGATGCTATGAACTGCACGAAATGATGTAAAAAACAAAATAAGAGTAACAGAGCAGAGCTGCTTCTTGGCAAAGTAGAAGTCACTACTACTCTAATAGCAAGTGTTGCTGAAGGGGAGGAAGAAGGGAGGAGGGAAAAAGGTTGGAAATGCACTCTACTGACAGGAGTCAACAGATATGCAGATGTTTTTGGACACAAATAGGAGAAGTCTGCCTCTGAAACAGACTGTACAGAAAGTGAGGCGATGGAAGAGGTAGTTAAATAGTGGAAACAGGTGGAAAAAAGGGGGGGAACACAAGCAGGTGGGGTGTGGAGGCAGCTAGGAGGATGCCAGAACAACGGTGGAGCAGCAGCGTCCCCGAGAATGGAAGACATGGCGAGTGAAGGACCGGCGAAGAAGAATGAATGGGTGGAAGGGTGGACGAGTGAATGGATGGAGAGTGGAGCAGTTGGACAGAGTTGGATCTTACCTTCCTGTCTGAGGAGTTTGTGCCTGTGCGGAGTCTGGGGCAGACTGAGAGAGGAGGCTGCGGGTGAGCTGTAGTAACTCCTGATTGCATTACTCCACCCATCAGGGGCTAATTGAAAATGGGGGAGGGACGATGGATGAGGTGGGGGAGGCGGGTGAGGGGGCAGTGATTCTTTTTTGAGACGATCTATAA